CACCCAAAGTCAAATGGAAGAAGATTCTATGGTGTGATGAGACCAAAACTGAGCTTTCTGGCCATAAGAGAAGACGCTGTGTTTGTGTTTGGCAGACAGAAAGCACTGCACATCATCATCCTGAAGCACGGTGGCGGCAGTATCATGGTGTGGGGATGCTTCTCAGCAGCAGCTTCAGGAAATCTCGTAAAGGTAGAGGTTGGAAAAACGTTTGCACGTCAAGGCAGGTGGCTTCCAGTCAGATGAAGCAAAGAGCTGTGGGAGATGAGGAGTGGGTGTAACGTCTGCAAAGGTTTGCTGCTTCTGGGTTTGGTGCTCTGAGGCAGGAAACAGAATAGCATCACGCCAGACAAAGTGGCATGATCTGTATCTGAAGACTGAATGAATGCGGCAAAGTATAGGGAAGACTGAAGACAACCTGATAGTGTCTGCAAGAGAACTGCGACTTGGGAGATGATTTGTTTTCCAGCAGGACAATGACCCGAAGCATACAGCTAAAGCTACACAGATTAAAGCCAACAAACTGAATGAGTTTTATCGGCACTGCATAAATTGCTTACTCAGCCCTTTCCTGAGTATAAACCCTTGGGTCACTTGATTAGTTGTTTGTAATGTGTTTTTAATGTTTTTTTTCTTTGTGTTCTTGATGCATGTGGTAGATATGTGAGCTAGATATAGTCATCTGTGTATAGGTTAAATATAAAGTCTATTGTTGGAACGTGGGTATGAAGGATGCAACCTCTATTTATCAGAAGTTTGAGCAAATAAAATCCGCTGGTGTTTGGATCTACCCGTTTCCTCATTTACTCTTCATACTCTACCATGACACAGATCTATAAACGTCTGAATCCACTCTTTAACCAGTCATAGCAGCGGTAATGGTGTGTGGTAGCTTAATGCTTTAATAACTGCACTTGCCTATACGATGTTATTCATGCAATTTGCCAAATAAACACCTGCCCGATCCAATTTCATTCAAAGGTTATTAATAGAGGCAATTCAGGAGGGAGGGAGTCTCGATTAATTGCCCTCACTAATTGAGAAACAAGTTTCTCATTACCATCCAACAAAGAGTCCATTGAGCCGGAGGTCAACGTGGACGGACCCGCTGGCTCACCTGTGTTATGTCTGCTAGTGACTCACTTAAAGGCACACATGGCCTTGGCAGCGTCAGTGACAGGAGCCAGGACCTGAATAGAAAAAGAGAAAATGAAAAAGCTGTTTAGCCAAGGAAGAAAATGTTCCAGAGCAAAGAGACTTCTTGTTGATTCCTTGCAGACATGAATACTGCATATTAAATCTTGTAGATCTTTTTGGATTGTATTTTTCATATTTCTACCCCTTTCCTTCTTTTTTTTGTAAATTCCTGAATACTGTCTGTTTTATCATTTAACTGCACAATGTATTTAAGCACTGTATTCTACTCCGCTTCTATTTGATCATACTTTATATTTCTACAAATACGTTATGGAAGGGAAGAGCTAAGGTGCTTTGGAGTTCTAGATTTTGCGTATGAAACCTTAGATCCTCGTTGCTAACAGCCTCCAGTGTCCTTTATAATAAGCATTTCTACTCGTGGTCCGTCATGTGCATTGTACTGGTAAAACTTCAATCATTCAATTACGCTTTCTTACATTAAACACCAAGACGCGAGGGTATTTCCCCATTAATAAGCTGAAAGGAAATTATCCTCAGAAGTAAAGAAGATACAGCTACTGTAGTCTGGCTTTGTTAGCCAATTCTGTGATACATAACAGAGAGAGCAACAACGACTAAAGAAAAGAAAATCGCTAAAAATGAACAACACTGGTGAGAGAAAACGCTTTAAATGCCGACGATAAAACTGGTACCACACAAGCTACATGCCGTCGACCTTGTATTTATTTTCACCTAAAGCTGATGAGGACTTCCTTCCTTCCTTGCAACCACAACAGTTCGAGTCCTGGCATCCGACACCAGCCACCGGCCACCAAGCCGCAGTAGCTGCTTTCTATCCACGCCCAGCGGAGAAGCAGCTTCAGCCTAAAATGCCGCTTGGTTGCAGTTCAGTTTAGACATAACGTGACATCCGACTCTGTGTCCTTCCTCTCAGGAATACTTACCTCTGACTCTCTCTCTCTCTCACACCCACACACAAACACACACAAGCATACACACCCACACATCAGGAAACCAGCAAAAGGAACTGCCAGCTCATGTTTTTCTGACTACAACTAATACGTGCCAAACTTTAAAAGATTCCACAATGACACAGATAAATAAAAATATAAAAAGCTTTAAATCACACTCTTTTGTTTTTGTTCTACTAAAGCTATCCTCTAAAGTTCACTTCACCGAAAGGGCTGATCTCTTTCTCTGTCTCCATTTCAGTTTTTTTTTTTTTTCTATCTCTGCTGCCCTGCATTCAGAAAGAAAAAGTGGCAAGAGAAAGAGGCCTAATGGTCTGGAGCGGACTAATCCAAGTTTTTAATATGGAAAACACGTGAGTTAAGTTGTCCTGAGAAAAATAAAATGTGGCACAGAGGAGTATTGTTACGTAAGTGGCGATCTGAGGCTTCAGATATAACCTACTCAATCTGTACTTATGTAAGGGCTGAGGGCTGATGTTGATAAATGGGTTTCACGTCGATGTTTCGATTAAAATCAGTCACAGGTGCATGCTTCGTCAAAATAAAAGCTCAATCTTTTAGCTTAAAATTGCTGTGATTAAAAAAAAAGCATGTTGGTGGAGATAAGAGGAGAGATAAATGTGTGTATGTGCGTGTACGTTTTAACAGAAAGAAGTGGATGGATACATATACACACACACACACACACACACACACACAGACAGATAAGTATGGCATGCCGTTTGGGAAATTCTATATATATATAATCTATAAGTCTGACTATGTATAATGAAAGTCTGACTATATAGAACTAGAAAAATTAATGGAAAGCGAGGACGAGGAAGGCAGAGAATTAAAATAATAGACGGACTAACATCATGGCTACATATGGAACGGGCAACAGTCACAAAAGATGGGATTCGATGTAGAGAAATGATCGCCTACGCTGAATAGCATGGCACTTGATTGATCGATATAGAAGAAATAATACAATTAGAGTAACGGCACTGAACAAGTCTCAGCAAAAAGTCAAGAATTGTTGGTGGATACTTTTGCTGCTGTGAAATGTACCTTTCTTGGTGCACTTGATCATGAATGGTCGGGTATCTGATTAAAAACCTGTGGTGGCAAGTCATGAGTCTCAATACGTCCTCACACATGTCACACACTACACAGACCCAACCACTGGCATTAACACCCCTCATTCCTTATGTGTCACTGATAGATGTAGAAAACTAGACTTTGAAGCATACAGTCGTCCATTAATGTATTCATACCCTCTCATTAAAGAAGGAAAAAAACAGCTGTCACTGAAATAAGCTGAAATTGACACAAGCAATAATAAATAAAAATGAAATGAAAATCATGACATTGCTTTCTACTTGTGGTTCAACAGAAATATTAAAAAACAAACAAACAAACAAAACAAGAAGCAAACAAGCATGATGGGACCCGTAAACTAATATTTTGTTGAACAACCCTTTGAGCCAATCACTGCTATCAAGTGTTTTCTGTAACTCTCAATCAGACTTCTGCACCTGTTGACAGGTATTCTGATTTTGGCCCACTGCTTATCAGCAAAGTGTTCTAATTTGTCCGGGACAGTTTTTATTTTACTATTTTTTTACATTATTTTTTTCACACCCAATTCAAAAGCAATGTCTGATTTCACTAAATTATAATTTTGCAAATTTTTATTTATTATTACTTTTTTCAGTTTCTAGTTATTTGAGTGACTATTGTGAATTTTGCCTTTTCTTTAATGAAACGGTATGATTAAATTGGAGGACGACTGTATGCAGGGCTCTACTATCATGAACTCATGAGTGCATTTCGGTACCTCTAGCATACCAGAGACTGCAGATGGAATTGATGCATGCTGCCATGAGATGGCAAGAGACACCAGAAGAAGATGTTAACTACTAACTACTACTAACTACTCACTCTTGTCTTGATCTTTGCACCAAGATTGCAGTGCATCGCTGTTACTGGCATTGTCACACCTGCAACTACAACATTTCCTCTGGCCGTTGTGCACAGCGAGGCAACAAAATAACACAGAAATGACCTTGGAGCTTTGCAGGTACGCACCGATAGGAAAACAGAACCAATAAAGTCCATACAGAAAGCGATTCTGTTCAGTGTCAGCTCATCTGTGTTATTCTGGGAGGCTTACTCTGAACTCTCAGCACAGGTATGACGTATGTCTGTGCTGATAACCACAGAGGCAGAGTTCAGCTAAAACCCTAAACACCAAAGCTGGTAAATATAGACTTCCTGAGGCCACACATGCAGAACATTTCATACTTTATGCTATATATTGTATATACTTGCCTTTATCTGCATTCTCCCTGATGGCTTTTAACAACAAGGCAGTTACCATTGCTTTGCTGTATCGTTCAAACTATTTCAATGCGCAACAGCTAAGCAGAGGTATAAAGGAGACTGACTCAACTGACCAATGAGTTCTCTTAACACTGTTGCTCTCAATTTGCTGAAAACACTGTGCTTACAGTTCTGTTTTATTCCACTGTAGAGCTACAACTGAAGATTAGTTTAATTTCAGATTGACCTGCTAATGTTAATTAATATAATTTTTTAAAAATGATTTTTTTGATTGATTGTTTTGGAAAAAAAAAAACACACTCATGTGGAAATGTCGTTTCAATCGAGGAATTTTATTCATAGTGTAAAACCATCTATATATATATTATGAACGTTAACCAAAATAACGTGTTTATAACAGTGCTTTCGGTTACTCTAAATAAACACGTCAGGGCGGCTGTTTTTCACTCACTTGTGTCTCAACAACACTTTTGCCTGCGTTCTTCCTCATTTCATGACAGGAAGTGAGCTTGCAGTCAGATGCAGAGCTGTCACCGCACTCTGTGACATGTCATTCCTGTAAACTCGCATGAACATGGTACGTCTGTAGTGCCACAGTCTGCTGCTGCTGCTGCTGCTGCTGCTGCTGCCATCATGTCCTGCTCGGACCGACACCTCTCCCAACGCACTTGATGCCATCAGAGGCGGCGAACTACGGGTTTTACAGGTCGGTGCCAACAGTTTATCATGTCTACTGTGCAGACAAAAACCGTTATTTCTCCATTCAAGCCAACTGAACACTCTGATGTAACAGAGGAGTATCCATCCAATACGCAGGATCTGTTGAAATATATTAACACTGACGCATTTTTGATACATCATAATGCAAAATATGACTTGTAGTTTGGTAACAGGATTTTGCAATGCAAAAATTCACCATCTCTGTTAGTTGTCAGTACACACAGCTAGATGCTACAATGGAAAATCAACTTCGATAGCATCTAGCCTCAGCTTCCCTATTCTGCAAGGAGGTGTCAGATGAGATAGCGCTATACGGTCGGCTTATCGAACGGTTACAGCAGTAGACAGAAGTTTTAGTGGCACAAAGCTACAGATTGGTTCATGTCTCTGTCTTGAATTCAGGCTGGTGTCTGATCCATGTGGAGGATGGGGAACATGATGCGAGGTGTGACTGCAGGGAGTAAGGGCAGCACTGAAAACTTCAACAACTCTGTCAAGGGTGAGATGTCTTTGCAACTTTTCAAACTGTTAATTAATGGATAAAGAATGCAGAGTGAAAGCTTTCTCCGTTGTCAGCAACAGCCATTCTGCATTTACTACTTTATCTGTATGTCTACAATACGCAGATGACACTCATTTCTACCTGAGGCCTGGTCTTGGACATTTTTTTTTCTTATCATGATGTCTGTGTATCAGCATGTAGATGTGTTTATAAGTGCTGTAAATATTGTTCTTGGCAGGTTCAGAGGATGACATGGTGGTGGTGCTCCAGGACTACCCCTCTCCTGAAATCAGCGAGCCGATCTACAGAATGGGGGAGAAGCTCAGAGTCGTCGCAAAGTACGATCTTGCTTTTGCATTCTCGATTTTAAAAAAAAACACACACACACACACACACACACACACACACACAAAAACAGGCAGGCATTTGGAAGATTCCAAACAACTGTGAGAAAACAGAGTCTAAAAGTTCACTTGCAACCTGATGTTCTAAGTTTGCAGTACAGAGAAGTGGTCACGTAAAAGGTCAGCTTTTAATTCCTCTTTGTCTTTTCACGGTGGTTAGGGAGGCGTATTGGTGGAGAGTTCGTTCCGTTCAAACAGGGAAGGAGAACTACATACCAAACAGTCATGTGGCTAAAGTCTACCATGGGTAAGTACAAAAGAAAAAGAAAAAGAGTTGGCCTTGGTGCAAATAATAAAGGTCCTTTTACTGTAAAGTCCCTCTATTATAAGGGAGATAACAGGGAATGTTATTAATCATGCATTTATATGTTCTTGTATTATTTTAAATAACATTTTTATTCATCATGTTGTAAATCCGACAAGTATTTACTCTGAACTCAGATAACGTTTTCTGCTCTGTCAGGTGGCTGTTTGAGGGAGTTGAGAGGCAGAAGGCAGAAGAGCTGCTTCTTCTGCCGGGGAACCGAGTCGGCTCGTTCCTGGTGCGTGAGAGCTCCAGAGAGAGAGGTGAGAACTGCTCTCTTGTGTAATTCGGTTTGAAATGTTCTGTGTAAAGGTTGTCAAGAGGATAACCAAGATGAGATTAGGATGAAAAGGGAGGTACAAAGCAAAGACTGGCTCTAGTCAGGTCCAAGTTGACGCATTTAAATATATGTCATTGAGATTATTTACAGCAGTTAAAGCCTTACTGATTCAGCTGAAATTTACAGAATTGTGTCAGCATTGTCACATCAGCAGCTGCTTGGCTTAGTGAACCATAAAGGCAAGAAATGGGAGGAAACAGCAAGTCACCATTCGGGTTCAGAATGCCAAAGACTTTTAAACTAAACTAATCCAAACATGTCTTGGCTGTAACTTCCTATTTAATAGAGGGACACGATTTGATTCCTCATCAAACTCTCCCTAAACTACAAACTGTCCCGTCCCTATAAAGACACGTATCAGGGGAATTACTAGACAGTGGGTTCTTTTGTGGTAAATTCTGCGTGAGCATATGTTGATCTCAAACTTTAATTTAGTCATGATGCAATAGTATTCAGTGACTAAACAATGACATTAAAACAGAGCCGTGACCTTTATGGTAATTCTGCTTTGTTTCAACATGTTCAGTATGATCCGATCATTAGTCGTTGATGCTCTCATACTGACACACACCATTACAAATGACGCGTCATATTTCACATCCTCAGGTCTGTATTCGCTATCAGTGAAGCACAGGATTGTTAAGCACTATCGCATCTTCAGACTGGACAACAGCTGGTACTACATCTCACCACGTCTCACCTTCCAGTGCCTGGAGGAAATGATCAACCATTATTCCGGTGGGTCGACTCGGATATCTAACTGAAGAGAAGCGTGTAGAAAACAAACATCCCAACATGCAGGCCACACAATCCGGCTTGTGTAATCAGGTGTCCTTAAATGATCTAAATAAATGTTCATGTTCTAAATATAGAAGTGTTTCTTATCAGCGTTCATGTTTTTATTCATTTCCGTCACTCATGGAACATTTTTAGAACAAAACAGGAAGTGAGATACGACATGCTCGATAATGACCACTGGTGCCTGCACGATGAGAAAAGTGCTGGTGTGTGTTATTAAATAGTGAAATATTTTTGATCTTCAACCAACCCCTTTTCACAAGTGTGGTTTGTGTATTTGCTTGATCAGTCGAGTGTGCCGGCGGTAAATGCAAATTATGCAAGTGGTGTTTGTTTGTAAGAATTACAGCTGTATTTAACTTGCCGTATCTTTGCCTCTTCAGACTCTGCAGACGGGTTATGCTGTGCGCTGACCTCTCCGTGTCTGTCGGGCACGGCTCCGCCACCAGACGCAAGTCCTGCAGCTCCACCTGTAGTCATGCGACGCAACTTTGACTGGAACAAAGTAGACAGGTGCGTGCAAAGTGCAGAATCACATTTAGCAGCTTTAATCAAATTAGGGTGACAGTACAAAAGGAAAATTCAAATTCAACAAGAAGTCTTTGGATTGGAACCAAGTCATGAAAACTGACTGAAGCGATCAAGTATCTATCAAAAATAATTATCTCTAAAATAGAAATTCAGGTCGTCAAGGTTGTTTAAGCCGATTTTCAATCTTATAACAGAAATTTCAGAGCAGTTCATAATTTATTTATTTTTTTTAAATTGGCAAAAGCTGTCGATGTTCATGCGTGTCTTCACCCCTGCTCTCTACAGGAAACAGCTGGTCAGCACGGACAGCTGCAGCGAGAACATGGTGAGCTACGGAGTCAGGAACAGCATCGCCGCCTACCTGTCCTTTTCTGGAGAACAAGACGCTTCACGGCAAAAAGCAGACAACAGGAAGAAGAAAAGCAAATCTGTGTATGCCCTCCCTGAAAACGGCCTCGCAGCCACTGGCTATGAGGATGACTTCTAGAGGCAGCAGTGGGGTTCATAAGACTGGAAATTCCTTCAAGAGGAGGCCAATAGAGGACGTCCTCCTGTGGAATCCGCTGTACATTTCGAATGGCGTCTGGGGGCCGTATTCCAAACATCGAAGTGTGGGTAGTTTCTAACACTTTGAAGGACTTTAACAATAATGCAAAAGGCACAACCACTTACACGATGACTTATGAAAAGGAGCAGTGTGGAGGCGAACTGGATGACTGTGCAATGAAACTGTGAAGTGTATGCTACATATAGGGCTGAAAACGAAGCCTGGCATCATGGCAGTAAAAAGAGACTCGAATGCTATGGATGTTGTTGGGTAGTATTAATGTGTGTATGACTGTTGGTGGTTTCCAAACTATTTTTATGTGTTAATAAATGTTGAATGGTAGATTGGTCATACTGTGACATGAACTCAAGCTTGCATCGATTGATTTCTTTGGCTATGCTGATGTATTTTTACCTCATTAAGCTGATATGTGTTCACGAACAGCGGTTTATTATTAATACATGGATTTGGGAGGACAATATTGAAATGTGGACTTCTCTTTTCCCTTTTCCCTTTTCCCATCTGGTCTTTGAAGCACTTCTATTCAGGATTATGTTGGTGCTGTCAAGCAAACCAGCCTGCGTTTTGAGGGGAAACTTTTTAGTGTCGGAGGGCGTTGCACAATGAACAGCACAACCAGTAGAATATGACACAAAATTTAGGTCTTAGCAGAATGCAATCTTTTGGTTTCATTTGGGAAACAATTGTTTGGGTTCTGACCTAACTTAACATTGCCAGAAATGCTCTGAGAGGTTCAAAATTTGGCTCCATGTAGGTGGAAAGGCGGCATTAGGGTTCACCTGATGATTGTTTGCTCAGTATTAGTGTGATTCACTGGGTGTAAAATGTGTAACCATTTTGTTTCCTTCACGATAGGAAACAACAACAATGACCTCTCGGCTACCTACTGAACTAAACGTTTTAGGTTTTGCTGAGTTTTTGGGTCATGCAGTATGTCAGCATTGCTAGTTTTTTCAGTGAATTAACATTTTTATTTGATAGTAATCAACTTCCTGCATACAAATGTTCCATTGAAACAATTCTTTAATCATTGCTTTGCAGAACGACTGTCGCTGCATCTTGGTTTAGCTCAAAAACTCTTGAATTTAGCTCCGTCCAACACGATTGTGATTGGTTTCAAGACATAAGAAATGAGCCAAAAGCAAGTGTTTTTGCATCTACAGCTGAATGATAATAGACCACATTCTGCATCACAGAATAGTCTGGCTAGAGTTATTCAATATTCACTCTCATTTAAGCTTCGTTGTGTTCTAGATTAACACCCGAATGAAATGTGTGTTGGCCATTTGGTGTTGGGCAGATAGCGTTTGGTGGGTTTAGTAAACAGCTGGGTGACGATTCTTGGTTTGTCAGTATGAACCGCCCCTCTCACACAGTCATTTGATATGATGTTCATATAAGATAGTAAATAAAACATCAAAAGTCTTCGCATCTTACATGACTTGGTGTTTAGTAGGTTGAAGAAATGATCGCTGATTGATTGAAAATTGAACAACTTTACTGGTGATTTTATTGGTGATTTCCAGAGAGTTTGGAGAGACAGATTTGACCACTTTGCACAAATGAAGAGTTCATTTGCAAAAACAGAAACTCCATTTTTGTAGATTTTCAGAAAACTTATTTTTGTTGTTGTTTGCTTGAGATGATATCAATCAAACTGAAGTTGACTGAGTAGAAATGACACGACAACAAATAGAGATAACTTAAGTTTGATCGATATTGTCTCAGGTAGACGATGGAAAAGTGGGTTTTCTCAAGGTTTGTGAAGATGGAGTTATCTGTTTTTGCAAATTCAAAGGGGGACATGTAAGTCTTTCCTCTGGTATTTGGGCATGTGAGATTCTACAAGATCAGCTCTAAACAAATCATCATGATGCGTTTGTTCATACGGAACACAAGTTTAAGAATTTAGGGAAAAACACATTCTCAGTGTTCGCCATTACAGTGACTATATTGGGCAGAAGGTCTGAGAGTTGCTAAATTCAAATTTCTGCTGAAACACGCAGACAAACTGCTAATACTCGCTGAACTTCCTCTGTTGTTTTGCGGCCTGTGAAACGGCCTCGCTAATTGTGGTCGCCACGTAACAGGCTGACAGAACAAGTGACATTTAATAAGATCATAAAAAAAATTTCAAAGACCGAAGATCTGTCACTATTACAGGAGAATTATTTGTGCTAAAAAAATACCCAAAAAAACCCTTTCTGTTGCAGAGGATTCATATATGTGCCTGCACAACTTCCTCTTCTGTATTTACCAGCTGGACCTAAAAACATTTTTAACCACTGACACCAAAGAGCAGACTGCATGTTAAAATAGAGCGAGGCATGTGCTGTTATCTTTTTTACACAGTCTCTGCTTGTTATCTATAGCTTTCTACCCGTTATTGGCGCATTTGAGTCAGAAAGTAAAGCATGACAAATATGTCTGAGAATGTGAGCAGAAGCAGAGACGGGCCAGTCAGTCAGTCAGCGAGGAAAAGTTCAACTTAACTGTTGAAACAGGAGTCGGTTCCGTTTAAGGCAGAGCTTTTGGGCCTGACGTGGTTGCAAAATGTTGAATTATTTAATCCTGCAACCACAAAATGATGCTTAGATTACGTTAATTGTCTCTAATCGTTGCTATTTATGTGATATATTGGACAAGTTTATCTATTCATGGCTCGGAAATGTTCAAATAACAGAGAAAAAAAGGTTCTTAGTTGGAAAAATTTCCCAGGGAGGACAGAAAACCTACGCCGTCTAAGCCCACTCGCAGGAAGTTGGTATACATCCTCTGTAATATGTGGCGCAACCTTGCCAACCTTGTTTATTTTTCATTAAATTTACGAGCGAACCGCGTGTGATCGAGCTCAGCACTTTCTTCTCTGCTAAATAAAAGAATCAAACAGTCGCGTTGGCTCGTTTTAAAGTCTCGTAAAATAACCGATTGGATTAAAGTCAAAGGATGTGTGTGTGTGTGTGGGTGTGCGTGTGTGTGTTGAATGGAACAATCAGTGATGCAGACACACACACATCTGGTAGCCTACTGCTGCACCACGCAGAGACTGCTGTCCAGTCAGCATTACTCACAGCCTCTCACCACCATGTGCAACCAGTCTAGGAGAGACTGGAGATGATCACCACATTGTGCGCCACGAGTGGATTTGCAGTTGATCGGCGGCCGTCGTCGCTGTTAGTCACATGTGTGTAACAGCGAGGGTGAATCAAAGTCCACCTCCGAACGAAGGCAAAGTTCTGGGAATCCATCAGAGGCCGCTTTATTCAAAATAAACCCAACTCTCTCCCTCTGATCGCCCCGTTCATCCATATTCACGACGGTGAAGATTCCACGCGCAAAAAAAAACAACTCTTCCCTGAAACGATTCGAGCATTTACTGTAACACCGATGCAGATAAGAAAGACAATCCTCCGTCGCCCTGCCAATCATCACACATCGGTGTGCGTACACGGCGAAAACAAAAGGCTCTCAGTGGGGCGACGAGCGGAAGAAACACAGCTCAAACTTAACAAAACCAGATACCCGCACAGTGCATGCTGTCTTACAAGAAAACCCCGGGTTTCAGGATGACTTTGGGATGAATAAAGGCGATTCAAAGTCCCCTGTTCTCCGTCTGATTTTTGTTTGATGTTACAGTGGATGTAAGCACCAAGAAAAACACTCCAACAATGCTCTCTGGCCTCTAATTCTTTTATTTTTTTTCTCTTCCTGAGTGAAAACAAGAAGAGGAAGAAGAGTTGAGGCCTGCTCATGTCTCCGTCTCTAGGAATGGGATCAAGGCGCAGAAAGCAAGGAGGGATAAGTGAAGGAAATTAAGAAATGGAGAGATGAATCCTCCTCCTACAGTCTAATTTCTGGTTATCAGGCTCTTCTAATCTCACCACATCCTCCTCTGTGCTCTGAGGCCCAGCTGTCCAAACCTCTGACATCACCGGTTCAGCGCTGGATGCTTGGTGGTGAACTGCAAAAAAAAAATAAAAAATCCAGCTAAATGTTTCCTTTGCTTAATCAAGAATGCGCTGCTTTAATTAAAACCCTCCTTCTCCACGCTGTTGCTTTCAACGCACGGACATGCGGCCCGTTCTTGAAGGGCCTCGACGTTTTAGGAGTTTCGCTAATATAAAATCCATTTTTATGTTTGTCTTCAAGTTTTATTCTCTTCTGAGAACAACATATATGCTGCAAATAGACACCAGGGTGTTCATTTCCTGTCAGAAAACCTCACACCGAGAGCTGTTGGTACTTTGAGCTTAATTTGGGTTAAAATATGACGCCCCACTTTAACTTTAACTCTGACCACTTCCTGCAGGTGTACAACAGAAATCAGTCTAGATTTTTATCTTGCTCTAAAGCTCCAAACATTAATATGACGTCTGCACATCGAGAGCTGTGTGTAATTTTGTTAAGAAAATGCACGGGGATTCAATGAAGTCATGTTTGCCAAGTGAGACCGCTTTCGACAGTTTTCACCAAATCCTGAGCGCAACCTCGTCCAAAGAGTACTGTCAACAACATGGAGTGTTTTCCTCAGAAACAGCACATGAGAACATTTAATGTTGAACCAGGGGCCGGAGCCAATACACACAACCAAATCCAAGGCTGTCCAGAGAGCCAGGGGAAAACAAACAAAAACCGAACATTCAAGAGAAACTGCTCCGAAGGTCCACGTCTTTTTTTGCCAGGGAACGGGGCGGCCTTATGTGATCTCCCAGGAATCTGTGTCTGCTCCTGTTCCCTCAGCCATTTCTCATAAATTCTAACATAATGTGGCAGAATGTTCAGTGCTGCTCGTAAAGTTCTATTTTCACGTCAAAGAGCAAAAATAGGTGAGGAAACATACTGACGGTCGCTATAAAACAGCAGCATGAGTCGGCGATGCTGTGTTGCGTCTAACAACTACAGCATCGGCCAAACTAATAACAGCCTGCTGGTATTTTTCATTCACGGCCAACTAACGCCGTATTAAACCCGAACAATGCAGACCCATCTGAACGGCCTAATAGAATGCTGAGAGATCTGTGTCTGGACTGTCAGAACAGGAACAACCTGACAGAATATTTTTGAAGAAAACAACCGTTTGGACCTGGAACGCTCCAGTCAGGCGGAGGCATAAATGAGTTTTTCTGGGAAGCACAGATATTTGGATAAAAAATGGACTACAAAAGAGGTGGAGAGTTCCTGTTGGCGAAAAGTTCACTTTCCATGAGGAGATTTTCTTGCAGATGTTTGCCACGTGGCATCGTATAAATAATCAACCCGAGATTATGCGGGGCCCTTTCCTAATTGGAAATTCAAGCACTGGCAAACCTAAATAAGCCCACTTGATGACTTTATAACTGCATATTTCTC